TAACCCAACCAAGATGGCAGCTGGCAGCCACAGAGCTGGAGCAAGCAGGAGGCTTGGTTGCCTCGGCGATGGAGGAAGCCAAGCTTCCTGCCTGCCCTGGCCAGCTGTAGCCTCCGCTCAAGGCAACAAAGTTTCAATTATAGAAGATAAATAAATCCCAGATACCTGTTTCCAGCCAGCCTCGCTGGGAGCTTGGGTCACTGGGGGCCGTGGCCAGCCTGCAAACAGCCATCAGCCCCTCACCCAGGCTGGCCACACCCTCATGGGGTGAGGGTCCCCACTGGGGGGCTTTGCCAGCCTTCAAACAGCCATCAGCCACTCACCCAGGCTGGCCACACCCTCATGGGGTGAGGGTCCCCACTGGGGCCTTGGTCAGCCTGCAAACAGCCACCAGCCCCTCACCTAGGCTGGCCAGGCACCCCAGCAGGGACACCCACCCTGAAGGGGCTGTGTCCAACCTGCAAACAGCCATCAGCCCCTCACCCAGGCTGGCCAGGCACCCCAGCGGGAACCCCCACCCTGAAGGGGGTGTGGCCAGTCTGAAAATGGCTCTCAGCCCTTCACCCAGGCTGGCCAGGCACCCCAGCAAGATCCCCACCCTGATCCAGGACACCCTTCAGGGCAAACCAGCTGGCCCCCACCCATGCACCAGGCCTCTATCCTATATAATAAAAGGGTAATATGCAAATTGACCCTAACAGCAGAACGACTGGGAATAACTGGTCACTATGACACACACTGAACACCAGGGGGCAGATGCTCAATGCAGGAGCTGCCCCCTGGTGGTCAGTGCACTCCCACAGGGGGAGCTCTGCTCAGCCACAAGCCAGGCTGATGGCTGCCAGTACAGCGGTGGTGGTGGGAGCCTCTCCCACCTCCTCAACAGCGCTTAGGATGTCCAACTGCAGCTTAGGCCTGCTCCCCGCTGGCAAGTGGACATCCCCCGAGGGCTCTCGGGCTGCCAGAGGGATGTCTGACTGCCAGCTTAGGCCCAATCCCCCAGGGAGCAGGCCTAAGCCAGCAGGTGGACATCCCCCGAGGGGATCCCAGACTGCGAGAGGGCACAGGCTGGGCTGAGGAACCACCCCCGCCCCCCCCCCCCGAGTGCACAAATTTTTGTGCATCGGGCCTCTAGTTGTAACATAAGCATATTAGCTTGATGAGTTTTTTACAAACTGAACACATCCATGGAACCAACCCCTCTCAGAAGCACCCTGAAGCGCCTTCACTTTCCTCTGCAGCCACTAGCCCATGACTTCCCAGCCACAAATAACGGCTATCTGACTTCTGACACCAAGGATTAGTGTCCTTGCTTTCGAACCTCATGTAAATGAAATCATTAAGTATGGTTTTGGTGTTTGGCTTCTTTTGCTCCGTAATAGGTTTGTGACATTTATGTACTATGTTATTAACTTTCATAGCTATATGGAGTACTACTTTATTAATATCCTACAATTTATTATACAGTCTGTAGTCGATTGACATGTGGGCTGTTTTCACAATGGAGCAATTATGTATAACGGTGCTATGAACGTTCTTGGCATGTCTTTAGGTAAACATGTGTACTTATTTTTATTGGGTATATACCGCAAAGTAAAACTGCAAGTCAAAATATATACATATGCCCAAGTTTGTTAAGTACTACTACTAATAATCAATTTATTGTGCTGTATACAATGACATACAACAATGTACCAATGATTACAATGTAAAGTTGTACCAATATTTATTCCTTGTACCGATGTAATTCCTCTTCCTTTATTCCTCTTCCACGTATTTCAGGCAGATATCTAGTGTTTGCAATTCTTTGCTTTAGGGTTCAGGGTTAAGTATAAACCAGAAACAGGTTGCAGTTAATGCCCTTCTCATTTTTAAAGCCTAAATTGACTGGAGAGATAGTATTGATTGGCCAGGAAGAGTAGATTCTTTTAATGAGAACTAAGAGGGCAAGGAAGGTAAAGGACTGAGAGAGATTCCCTTGGTCAGAACTAGGATGGAGGCCAGGGGATCTAGGAGATAGCAGAGCCCAGAGGACCTGAATAGCTACTTATGCTTATTTTAGTAAAGTGACTATATCATTTATTATCCAAACCCAGACACCTGAGAGTGATAGGGTGTGTACTAATAATTATAGTGATAATGGGTGGAAATCCGCACTTTTCCAGGCAAACTGGGATTATTTTAGGTGGCCTCCATGGAAACTTGTAAGTGAAGTTGCTCACGTCTTTGAAAGTTTCTTAGAATCTTCATGTAGCAGATCGTAGGGAGAGCAGCTTCGTCACTGGAGAATGCCCGGATTAAAAACTTGAGGTACAACTCCTGTTACACCGTGAGCCTGCACGCGTTTATAAAGTGAATTCACGCAGGTGAGTGTGTGTGCTTTCTTACTTATTCATGGAACATTTTGATCTTCTCCTATATAGCAAAGGCCTGTGTGGCCCTTAGTAGAGCTGGAGCAGGTGGTCTTCGTGGTGGTGGTGTCTCCACTGTTCTGAGCAGATCATGGAGCTAGAAACACGTCATCTGAGGTGCTCTCTCTGTAGCACCTGCAACTCTGATCTAACTTTTTGTTGTTGTTGTTGTTGTTGTTGTTATTCTCAAAACTCCCTTCAGAAACTTGGGAATGAGCCCTGACTGGCTTGGCTCGGTGGATAGGGCGTCGGCCTGCAGACTGAAAGGTCCCAGGTTCTATTCCGGTCAAGGGCATGAACCTTGGTTGTGGGCACATCCCCAGTGGGGGGTGTGCAGGAGGCAGCTGATCGATGTTTCTCTCTCATTGATGTTTCTAACTCTCTATCCCTCTCCCTTCCTCTCTGTAAAAAATCAATAAAATACATTTTTTTAAAAAACAAAAAACTTGGGAATGGTGGCTAACATAAGTCTGGGACCACTATTCCTTAAAGTCAAGATTAAGTATTAGAGTTAATGAAGGAGAGGGAAAGCGAGGCCCCAACCTTCCACAGGAGGTCCCTGAAGTAAAAGGGAAGCGTGAAGGGAACACCTGAGTCCCTAGGTGCTGTGTAAGCATCATGATCCCAGCCATAAACAAAGATTGCAATTTCTTCCCTGCTGGGACCATCAGAAAAATTCCCAGGGGAAATGGTGCCTAATGAGGTGCCTGAGGCCATCCAGTAGCATAAAGCTCTCATGATACGCTAGCCCGGGTCCTGGTGAGACGGAGGGTCCCTATTTTTTTCTCCTGAAGTTGACTTAGACCAGCTGAGAAAGTCCACACAGAAAACTTGGTCTATTCCTAGAGCATCTGGAGACTGGGGTCCCTAGAAGCTCCGATTCTCAGCACCAGGGGCACCAGAGGAGTTCATACCTGAAAGATGTCTGCTTTATGCACTAGCACCATCTTCTCCTTCGGGCTAATGGAGAAAGAGATGCACACGGCCCAGCACTGAGGGAGCCAGGAAGAAGGAAGGGGAATGTGTGAATCCAATCTTCTCAGATGAGCTTCTTGGTAAACCCACAACCAGCAGGTCTAGGATGTATTGATCCTTCCCCTGCTCGCAACACTAACTTTGATGGAGTGAAGGGGCTTATAGGAGGAAGGTGAGTAGGGGACAGAGGACCCCATGTCTGGCTGGGAGAGGGAGGCAGAGAAGGGGAGACATAAGAGCTCTCTGTACATCCTAAAGCAGTGGGCTGTGGGTTGTACTCCTGGCTCTTGGGGTGTCTTTCTGGGAGTCCTTGGGCAGCCAAGTGAGGTATTCAATCTCCTCATCTCTCAAGAGGGAACAGAATTCTTTTTTAAAAAATATATTTTTATTGATTTTAGGAAGGAAGGGAAAGGGAGAGAGAGATGGAAACATCAATGATTAGAGAGAATCACTGATCGGCTGCCTTCTGCACGTCCTCTACTGGGGATCGAACCCACAACCCGGGCACGTGTCCTTTGACTGGAATCGAACCCAGGGACCCTTCAGTCCACAGGCCGATGCTCTATCCACTGAGCCAAACCAGCTAGGGTGGGAACAGAATTCTTGCTGCTCATGCTAAGAAACTCTAGCCTAGATTCATGATCACCCAGGGGAGCTGAGATATCGTCACAGGCATGTTGTGAATAGCTAAGCTGGGGGCAAAAATGAGAGAGCGTTACCAAACCAAAGTCCAAGGGCCCGATGCTTCAAAAGGCCAAAACTCAAAACATCAGGGTTTGAAGTAAGTAAAGGTTTATTGATTGAAAAGGTGCCAACCAAGAAGATGGGGGACCTGCCGAAACCGGTTTGGCTCAGTGGATCGAGCGTCGGCTTGAGGACTGAAGGGTCCCAGGTTCGATTCCGGTCAAGGGCATGTACCTGGGTTGCGGGCACATCCCCAGTAGGAGATGTGCAGGAGGCAGCTGATCGATGTTTCTCTCTCATCGATGTTTCTAACTCTCTATCTCTCTCCCTTCCTCTCTGTAAAAAAATCAATAAAATATATTAAAAAAAAAAAAGAAGATGGGGGACCTAGTGGTGCCTCAAATCCATCTTGCTTGCTGGACTGGGTTAGGGGGTTTTAAAGGGCTAAGGGGAACAGGTGTGCGGAAGTGCTGGTGGGACAAGTGTTCGCTGGAGGACCTTGGAACTTGGCCATTTATGGTAGAGGGATGTCAACACCAGATATTCCTGGACAACAGACCCTTGGCTTCTGTTGTTCAAGGGTTCCGGTGTTCAAGTTCCAGTTATGTCCTGGTCCTTTGGTCCCATCGGGGTGGGGCCGGGGAAGGGGGACGTGCAAGGTTTTGGTTCCAGGCACAACTGGGGCCCAAGGTCTCTCATCTGTGCATGCTTCACCTGCATGGCTTGTGGTTTTGGTCTGTTGTCTCTGAAAAGCAACTGAGCTCCTCATCAAACAGAACAGAACCATTCTGAGCTGGTTCCACAGTTACAAGGCGAAAGGCAAAAGGGAGGGCGTCTATACCTGGTCTCATCTCTCCTATCATCCACGCTTGTGCCTATCAGCAATCTATTGTATTTTACCCCTTGTTTCCACAGACAGCTCCCCAGAAGAGAATGGTTCTGAGAAACAGCTCCTCGGTGACTGAATTTATCTTTAGGGGATTCTCAGAACGATCAGAGGTCCATGTCCCCCTCTTCTTCCTGTTCTTAGGGCTCTATGTGCTCACTGTGGTGGGCAACTTGGGCCTGATCACCTTAATTGGTCTGAATTCTCGCCTTCACACTCCCATGTATTTTTTCCTCTTCAACTTGTCTTCGATAGATCTCTGTTATTCTTGTGTCTTTACTCCCAAAATGCTGCACGATTTTGTGTCAGAAAATATCATCTCTTACGCGGGATGCATGACTCAACTGTTTTTCTTCTGCTTCTTGGTCAATTCTGAGTGCTATGTGCTGGTATCCATGGCCTACGATCGCTATGCGGCTATCTGCAATCCTCTGCTGTACCCGGTCACCATGTCCCCCCAGGCCTGTGCTCTGCTGATGTTGGGTTCATATGCGGTAGGGTTTGCTGGGGCCATGGCCCACACCGGAAACATGCTGAGACTGACCTTCTGTGGTTCCAACATCATCGACCATTATCTGTGTGAAGTTCTCCCCCTCTTGCAGCTCTCCTGCACCAGCACCCATGTCAACGAGCTGGTGTTTTCTATTGTTGTTGGGATGGTCATTGCAACATCCAGTATCAGCATCTTCATCTCTTATGCTTTGATTCTCTCCAGTATCCTCCGCATTCCTTCTGCTGAGGGAAGGTCCAAAGCCTTTGGCACATGTGGCTCCCACGTCACCGCCGTGGCTATGTTTTTTGGGTCAGGGGCCTTCACCTATTTAACAACCTCTTTTCCGGGATCTGTGGGCCGGAGTAAATACGCTTCAGTCTTCTACACCAACGTTGTGCCCATGCTTAACCCTTTGATCTACAGTTTGAGGAATAAGGATGTTAAACTTGCCCTGGGCAAAACCCTGAAAAGAGTGCTTTTCTGATGGTTCTGTTTGCATCAATGAATTACTGAGAAGCATCATAGTATCTTTTGATCGACAGGTGGGGAGATTTTCATCTTGTTTCTCTAGTAGGGTCTTCTCCCCACTTTAAAAATTGGAAACGTCTTACTTATACTCTTCTTGGGGATTATACTGTGTTGTACTACTTAAACTGGTCCATTGTATGAATTTAGCATTGATTAAGTGGTTATAATTGACTTGACTCTATCGTAGGCCCAAGAGATTAATAAGATGAGGCCCCACACATTCCCTCCTTTTCTCGGTAGGCTAACTGGGTTCTTGCCAGTGACATGTCTGGCTGGGAGATGGAGCAAATGGTGATATGAGGGGCCAAGAGAGTGAATTTGTTTTTTTTCTTTAGGATCAGCCTTAGCAAAGACCAAACGTAGATACCTTGGGGACATAGGTAAGATAGTCTTCCAGTCCCCAGAAAGATTGCTTGGCTAGGAAGATCATACATTGTCTCTTTCATATACATAAATGTGCATGCAAGAGAAGGCTTCCCCCGAAAGTTCTTCACATAGTCTGAACTGTAAAGATAAAGCAAAACTAAAATATTTCATTTCCAAGTTCCAGAACTCTTAGGCCTTGGAATAGTAACCATGGGGTAGGCGGTCTTCTAACTGGGTCAGTTCCTTGGGCTCTGGGTGCTGAGGCTGAAAGCAAAAGAAGAACAAAGGAGGGGCTCCATGGGCGCACATGACTATGTTCACTGCTGCGTCTCTTCTGCCCTGGAGATCTGTGTGCATTAGGGAGGGTTTGGGAAAATTCTTCTATCCTTTAAAGTACCTTTAGACTTTATCGTCTCTAAGAGCGTGTGTGTGTGTGTGTGTGTGTGTGTGTGTGACAGTTAACTATTAATGCATCAGGAAGAAAGAAAAGTCATATTACACTCTCAACTTGCGGGAAGACTGGGAAGGACCCAGAATTCGAGTCCAGAAACCGCCCTGAACTACGCGGTTGAAGGTGCTGCTATTCTTGATGGAATATCTTGGGTTTTGAGGAATACCTCCCCAGAAACTGCCCTGAGCACAGGCAGGAAGGTGAACCTTGGGCCAGACCTACCCCTGTGGAGAGGCGGGGGCGAATTTGAGGGGCCAAGAGACCCAAAAAGACCTGTTTCTACTTAACGGAAGAAACCCAAAATATTAATTTGAAAAGACACGTGCATATGTTTATTGCAGCATTATTTATAACTAGAGGCCCAGTGCATGAAATTCGTGCACTGGTAGGGTCCCTAGCAGCTGCCAGCTGTCAGCCGGGTACTCCCTCTCTTCCCCCAGGCTGGCTCCACCTCCTGGTCGAACTCCCAGATAACTCCTGGTTGAGGGGACAATTTGCATACTACTCTTTTATTATATAGGATACCCAATATATGGAAGCAACCTAATTTATTCTAAATTTAAAGTCCAGCATAGGGAATATAGTCAATAATGTTGCAATAACTATGTAAGGTGTCCAGATGGGTACTATAAATCTGGGTGATCACTTCATAAGATATACAAATGTCTAACTACTCTGCTGTACACCCAAAACAAATATAATATTGTATGTCAACTGTAGAAAAATAAAAACTTATTTTAAAAATAAAATAAAACTAGAGAACATAAGAAACTATGTTCATAACACTTTCTATAAGCATGTTTAATCATTAATTAATCAAATATTTCATTTACTCAATAACTACTTTATTGTACTCCTACTATATTCCAGGTGTTGTAAACAAAACAACAAAAAAATACTTGTGCTGACATTCTAGTGATTGATTATATTGAAATCACTTGTTTATATTTGCGTAAATCATTTCTATTGTGATTGCCATGTCTTTTCCATGCTTTCTTCCTGACACAACATAGTAAATACCCAATAAATGTTTTTCCCAAAGAATTTTGCAAATTGAATATATTCAAACTGTTTTATTTCAATTTTGCTGTAAAAAAACACCTTTATAAAAATCTTATGCTTTAATAATGAGTTGAAAGTTTTATATAAGGAGCTATAATAAAATCCATGGCTATACATTTTAGGGGCCTAAGAAAGTTGCAAAATATAATCTTAAGCAAAATTCACTTTGCTGGGGGTTGAGGGCTAAACAATGTTACTGAGTCACCAGCACCACCTGGTGGCTACTTAAGTGAACTGCTTGATTCAGTATTTGAAGTTTCTCTTGTGTCTCCATTCTTGCATTGACCTGGCCTTACGTATGAACCAATTCATAGTGTTGCATTGTATTGATGTACTGGGGTTTATTTAAACTGGTCCCTCTTAATGACTATTATTTGCCCCGTTTTCTAGTATTATACCAAGCAATGCTGAAATTGATAATCATATTCCACTTGCATTGGCATAAACGTTCCTCGTTTGTTGCCATTTGACTTGGCCTTTGGTGTATGCCAAGATCAATTTTGTTTAAAATTTGGTCACGTTGATCAGTCATTTCCTTTCTGGCTTGGGCTTTGTTTTATGCTTTAGAAAGACCTTCTCCTGATATGATAAATAAAAATGATCCATCCATGTTTCTACGAGTACTTTCAAGACTTCCGTTTTACAGCCGAGTCCCTGAAAAATGGACGAAATCCAGCCTGGAGCAGGGAACAGCTCTGGGAAGCGGGGACCGGCTCCTGGTCGGCCGGCGTCTCGGGGTGGGGTGGGGGAGCGGGGGGGCGGGGGAGGGGGGAATTGCAAGTCCTCTCCAGAGTCCGGAAAAGCTCAGCGCGTGGTGGGGGGAGTCTGTCCCCTTCCCGGCAGCGGCCTGAACACATTTTCAAGTTTCCCTTCTGCTGCCGGGGTCGTGTCCTGCCGCCCGGGAGCTTCGGGGCGAACGCCCCATCCACCTGCCCGGGGACAAGAGACGCGATCGTGGTTAGGCTGCGACGAGATGCGGCGTCTGGGCGGCCTCCGTGCGAACCTCGCCGGCCCGCGGTCAGGTCCATCCTGCGGACTTTCGTGCTGGTCCTCGGGCGCCATCTGGCGGCCTCGTTTAGGTAGCGTCTTCCCTCGGGAACTCCAGCGAAATCTGCAATGGACGGGACGCGGCCGCGGTGCCCAACGTGGACTTTCGGGAGGCCGACGCCGCTAACGGGATCGTCCCGTGGTGCTGCGGCGACGGCGCGTCATCTATTCGCCGAGATTAAACGCGCAGGGACCCGAGGGGGTGTCCATTGCCGCTCTCCCGGACTAGGTTATAGGCTGCTGGGGCAGGTGGACCAGCACCCGCCGGTGCCTGTACCCCCGCGGAACCGACCGGGGCCGCCACGGGGTAACGGGAGAGGATTCCCGCGCCCGGACGCCGTCCCGGACGCGGTCCGGTTGTCGGAGGCGCCTCCGACTTTCTCCCGTTACCACTCCAGAGGCAAAGAGCTGCTCTGCCCGCGGGATGGGCCGGGAGGGCGTCTCCGGAGGACTGGACCCCCAATCTTTCCGAGTCTCGCTCTGGAGGGCACCAGCTCCGGCCCGACGGGTAAATCCGTGCCGAGCGCCCATACGGAGTGCGGGTACCTGGTGGTCGGATCTTCCCCAAATATTTCCAAGTCCCTTCCCCGGAGCTGGGGCCGGCAGGATGCCCGGTGCCAGGGGGCCGGCAGGGGACTTCGCCCGGCCTCCTCTTCCTTCCCCCGTCCCGCTCTGAGGCTGAACCGCGACGAGGACACTCCTACGGAGCTTAGCGGTGCGCTCCCGCCGGCCCGGGACCCAGACCCGCCCGGTTGCCGACCGCGCCGCGGTGCCGCGCGCCCCCTGGCGGCCACTTTGTGTAGCTTCCTCCGCTGGCTCGGCTCGCAGTGGGAGCGGGATCCGACCGGCCCAGGGTCCGCGGCAGAGCCCGGGATCGTGCAGGTGCGGATGGCCATACGGAGACCCCTTGGGATCTGTTCATCGGAGGCACCTCTAGGAGGTTTTTCCAAGTCCCCACTCAGCCGGGGATTGGCACAGGCCGTCTTGAGGGTACGGAGAAGGGGCCCCGAGCTCGGCCCGGTTCCCCTCCTCCCGATGGCATTCCCGCGGGTTGTTGGGCACTGTCTGCCCCCAGGTGTCTGGACATTTCATCCATTTCATCCTCTCAAGTTGGGCACCCGAGCCTTCTTTCTGGCCTCCCCCCTTACCCTCCCCCCCCTCAATGTTCTCCCTATTTCTGACATTTTAAAAAATATATATTTTATTGGGTTTTTTTTGTTTGTTTGTTTGTTTTTGTTTTTTTTTTACAAAGAGGAAGGGAGAGGGATAGAGAGTTAGGAACATCGATGAGAGAGAAACATGGATCAGCTGCCTCCTGCACACCCCCTACTGAGGATGTGCCCGCAACCAAGGTACATGCCCTTGACGGGAATCGAACCTGGGACCCTTGAACCTGCAGGCCGGCGCTCCATCCACTGAGCCAAACCGGCTAGGGCGATTTCTGACATTTTGCTGCACAGCAGCCCCTTCCCAATTTGAACAGTGCAGGACTCCCTCCCACTGAGCTGAGGAAGGCAGGATGCTGAGGCAGGTCAGTAAAAAGCTAGGACGGTCCCTGACAAGTGGAACGAGGAAAACGGAGACAAAATAAACTAACGGCCATGCAATTAACAGAGCTAACAAGACCCGTCCTCCCTAACCAAAGGCACTTAAGAGCAGATGATGCTCACTGCTCCTCCCCAACCAGAGAGCGGGCCGCTTACGTTACCTTAGGGCAGTGGTTCTCAACCTTGGCTGCGCATTAGAATCACCTGGGTATCTTTCTAAAATCCTGATTTCTGGGCCTCATCCTCCGGAAATTCTGTTTCTTTGTTAATAATGTTGTGGCCCCGCCCCATAACAAAGTAACAGCAGTTCCGGAGGATGAGGCCCAGAAATCAGGATTTTAAAAAGATTCCCAGGTGATTCTAACGTGCAGCCAAGGTTGAGAACCACTGCCTTAGGGAGATAGATGACAGAGACCCAGTTAGTGCCAGCCGTGCCAGCCGAACCCCAACATGAATGAAGTCGGGGTAATAAGTAACAACAGC